CCCCATAATCAAAAAAAATGTTTGTAATCATTATCACCTAAAAAAATAACAGATACACCATACTCAACTGCATAAAAATTGGACTTTCCAGTTGTACGCAAGTGATACCATGTTTCCAGTTGTTTCGAGTTGTACGCAAGTGATACCAATTGTTACTCTCTCTCGTCCTCCTCTCATAAATAGTCAACTCCGGGAAAATACTCTAATCTAAGTCCTATTTACTGCAGTATAACATCTAAACCTCCAATTCACTAAATACCCATCCGATTAGCAACCAATCACCATTTTCATAGTCTATAATTCCCTATTCAATAATCTAATATAATCCCCAATAGTGGTTCTAAGGAAACGACTTCCCAAAATCAAAACGAGGTAAGAAAATCGAACCACAGAAATGTCAATTACCTCGATTATCCTTCAATGTCGGATCAGTGCAGCAAAATGTCAAAAAGGACTCGACGATCTCTCGTTCTCTCGTTCTCTCTGTCACGATCGCTGGGATAGGAAGCTGTCATCCCGACAAAGCTTTTTCATGATTGGATAAATTTTTGGCGCCTAATATTTGTCTTCTCCCTCCTGATTGGTCAATTTGCTAGACGCTTGTTTCTGATTGGCCGAAATTTGGTAAGCCGCTCTTCATTGGTTCATCTACGCTTAATTATCATTGGCCGAATTTCGATTTATAATTTCCTTCTATACAAAATTATAAGGACTATTTGGATATTTCCAAGCACATTAAATGGTGAGGGACTCCCCAAGGATACGAGAGAATGAAGGAGTGTACGAGAGAATAAATAATTCCTCAAAAAGGTGTTTCAGATTATTCCTCGGCACGTGATGCAAGCGCGTGACAAGTAGGGCTGGGCAAAATATCCGTTATATTTGCTTCGATCCGTTATCCGTCTCGATTCGATCCGAAAAATCCGGATATCCGTAATTTTAATTATTATAAATATTAAAACTTAATAAGTTAATAAAAAAATATTTTTTTAAAGAAAATATTGTTATTTTTTTATTTTAAATATATTATTATTTAAATATTTTTATGGGGCGGATCGGATATCCGGCAAATATTTAGATTTTTAGCGGATATCCAGAAAACGGACATCCGGATAATTACGGAGCGGATACGGATCAGAAACATGATTATCCGGACGGAGCGGAACGGATCACGAATATCCTCAAAATCTAGGATATCCGCTCCGCGCCCAGCTCTAGTGACAAGAGAGTAAGCATTATGATAGTATAAATAGAATTGTAAAGGACAAAAGGTTATATTGAATGTGTGTAACTCAAGCGATATAAATTTGTGAGGATATGAGAGTGTACAAAGAGTTCTTGAGAGAGATACATATTCTTACATTTAAATTCTTATCAAATGGTGCATCGTGTCGAGATCGAGTTAGCAAACCAACCAAATATGGAATCAGCGATGAGGAGTCGAGGATGATGGCGGAATATCGGCGATGAAGACATAATTAGATTTCTTCACGGCGGATCCACCCGATTGTGCACAGCCAACACAATGCTAAGTTGGATCTGGTTGCTTCAACAATATGTTGAATAAAATAGAGATGCTTATGTTCGACGGCTCTTCTCCCTATATTTGGATAGCTGATGTTGAGAGTTTCTTTGAGATCGAACGATATGATGACAATGCTAAGCGGGATCTGGTTGCTTTGACACTAACGGGAAAAGTAAAGAAGTGCTACGTTTGGCCTCGTAAACACCATGGTTTTCGTAATTGGCAATATTTCAAAGACCGCTTGTTGATACAGTTGGCCTAGACACTGGAAGAAGAACCAGGTAAACGGTTGAACTCAATCAAACAGACAAGCACATGTGGTGACTATATTACCGATTTTCAAGATCTGTCATCACAAGTTACAGGAGTAGACGATAAGGGATTGGAGGATATTTTCTACAATGGTTTATCCCCGGAGTTAAAAGAAGTGATCAAGTTAAAAGAACCACGAGGTTTAGCAAATCACATTGCATCAGTACTTAAAATAGAGAGTTGTGCTTTCTGAAAACTCATTGGCGATGTCAGTAAATGAGAAGAAAATCCACAGGAAGCTATACTCGATCGACGTCGAATTATACAGGCCAAAAATCTCAGTATGTAGCACCATTTAAACAGTGGTTATTGACAGCAGAGAACAATGATAAAAGAGAACAAGCTCAACCTGGCAAACAATTTATGCGACCCCACGGCAAAAGTTTACAGACGCAGAATTAGATCTGAACCGAAGTTTGGGACTGTGCTTTAAGTGCGATGCCAAATGGTTCAAAGGTCACGTGAAGGTGTGTCCCAAGAAAGAACTCCAAGTGTTAACTATTCTCGATGGTTTTGAAGTCGAAGTGTTAAACGAGAATATGTTCTAGCTATAGGATGAGGATGATGAACCACAAGGCAAGTTGATGCATCTTTCATTCAATGCGTTTCTCGGTATTGATTCACCAAAAACAACAAAGTATATGGAACTATTGGGAAGGCTATGGTGATGGTAATGATAGACAGTGGTACTTCTCATAATTTCATTGCACCAAAGACAGTGCTTGAAACACGCCTACCAGTTACTAAGAACTTCACTCTCAATAAACTACTTGGGAATGGACTACAAGTGAAGGGTTTAGGCCTATGTCAAAATGTCACATTATCTTTATCAGGTTTTGAGTTTACAATAGACTTCATTTCCTTGGAATTGGGTAGTGTGGATATCATTTTGGGGATACAATGGCTGGAGACATTAGGAAAATGTCAAATGGATTGGAAAAAACATGACTTTTCTTTCTTACACAAAGGCGAATAAGTCAAAATTTATGGAGATTTGTCTTTGCATTCTCGCAAACTGTCACTGAAATCACTGAACACCACAAACACAATGAAATCTAAAGGTGTTACTTTGGATTTTGGGAACTTAGGAGAGTAACAACATGGTGACAAGGGAAAACCAACTTTGACTTCAGGAGTTTGATGCAGTTTTTGCAATTCCTAATGAATCTGCCACCAGTATGAGGTCGTCAACATGGAATTACATTGAGAAATAGATGTGGTCCTATTAATGTTCGACCATACAGATATCCAAAAATGCATAAAGAGGTTATGGAGAAGATGGTCAAAGAGATGCTGACTGCATGAACCATTCGTCCGAACATTAGTCCATACTTGAGTTTGGTTTCATTGGTGAAGAAAAATGATTCTAGCTGGAGATTTTTGTGTCGATTATCGTGCACTAAACAGTTACAATTCTGGACAAGTTCTCAATTCCTATGATTAATGAGCTATTTGATGAGCTATACGGAGCAGTCATTTTTTTCTAAATTAGACTTAAGATCTAGTTATCATTAAATTCATATAAAGAAGGCAGGCATTGACAAGACCGCGTTTAGAACTCATCACGGCTACGAATTCATGGTTATGCCGTTTGGGTTCACCAATGCTCCAGCCACCTTCCAATCACTCATGAATGATCTATTTTGCGCCCACTTGAGAAAATATGTTCTTGTCTTCTTCGACGACATTCTCATATACAGTCAAAGTTTGTAAGAGCACGAGGATCATCTATGAGTGGTATTGAAATTTTTTGAAGAAAACCACCTCTTTGCCAATCGAAAGAAATGTTTCTTTGCTCAGCCTGAAGTCGACTATTTGGGTCATATTATCTCAGCTCAAGGTGTAGCTACAGACCCTAGTAAAACGGATGATATGCATAAATGGCCAACTCCAAAATCGGTTAAGCAATTAAGAGGGTTCTTTGGATTAACTGGCTATTATAGAAGATTCATAAAAGGATATGGAACTCTGGCTAAACCTCTTACTGAGTTGTTGAAAAATGATATGTTTATCTCGTCTGAGACGGCTCGAAATGCGTTTAATATGTTGAAACAAGCAATGATCACAACACGGGTACTCACTCTTCCAGATTTCTCTGAGCGATTCATTGTGGAAATAAACGCTTCTGGGTTTGGGTTAGGGCCGTGCTCATGCAAAAACAGCGGCCAATAACATATTTCAGTTGTGGGTTAACAGTAAGGGAATAGTTCAAATCTGTTTATGAGCGTGAACTAATGGCAATTATCCTTGCTATACAGTAGTGGAAACACTACCTTTTGGGCAGTAAGTTCGTTTTTCATACCGACCAAAAGAGCTTATAGTTTTCATTGGAGTAGAGGGAAGTTACAGTGGAATATAAAAATGGCTAAGTAGAGTACTCGGTTATGACTTCGCCAAATGTTTAAGCCTGGCATTGAAAATAAAGCTGCAAACGGTTTGTCCAGAAGCTTACAGGCTCCTTTAAAAAATGTCAACACTTCATTACTAGCCTTAACCGTGCCAGCAGTTCTTCAACTGCAAGACTTATATAATGAGATTGCAAAAGACACATATATACAATCCATGATTATAAAGATTCAAGCAAGAGAGCCGGTTAATGCACCACACAATCAGGCACCAAACTGAAGTACAATACAGCGTTTCACCCAGAAACAAACGGCCAAACAGAAGTATTAAATAGGTGTCTTGAGTCGTATCTGCATTGTTTTTTGGCACCTTCTCAGAAATATTACACGACTTTCAGTTTTCTAATCTACATAAAAAGGCTCCAAATCAAATTCAAAGCGAATTGAACAGTCAAATCTTTCTGAAACTGATCCCCGATCCCTAACCTAGAATAGAGATTAAGGGCGAAAAGAGACATGGAACCCGCAACAGGATTGAGCTAAGACACCATCCGTCTTGTGCAAAAGATCAAACGAATCGACCATATCCGTTAGTAATATTCGATCAAAAATTTGTAAAAGAAGATCGTGGGATGAAACGGCGATGAGATCGAGGATTCCGGACCGAGTAATGGTTGTGAGATACTTTGGGCTTTTACGGTTTTTGTTAAAGTGTCTAGAGAGTTTAATGTGTCAGACAGAGTTTAAAGTACTTTGTTACTTTTTGGTGTGTGTGTGTTTTTTTTTTTAATAAATAAGTGGAGGGCATCCCAGCTTAATTGTATAACATATCATGTCTCGGTATCCTCTTCAAACCCTAAGCGGCGATTTCGATCTGTATCTCGCTCTCTCTCGCTCTGTGTCTCTTAGGATTCGGAGATTTCTTGCGCTATACTCTGTGCGTTGTGATGGGTTTGGCTTACCGTTTATCGGTGACCAAACGGAAGAGAATGAAGAGAAGGAGAAAAGCGGAGACGGAGATTCCAAAGGATGTGGTGATGGGGGAGATCCTTACGAGGCTGCCCGTTACGTCACTGATGAGATTCAAGTGTGTCTCGAAGCTTTGGTCATCTCTCATCTGCTCACGATACTTCTGCAACCGTTTCCTCGCGGTCCCACTACGACCAAAGCCTCCTCGACTTTACATGTGTTTGCACGATTGTAGTGACCCTCGTAACTCTGTAACACTATCATTGGCTCCAGACGCTGCTAGTACTAGTTGCTTTGTAGTTGACCACGATCTGACCACCCCACGGATAGGAGGCTACATCTGGCAAAACTTTCGTGGCTTCATGTGCTACACCATTTGGGATAAGCCACGGATCTATAACCCTGCCACCAGACAACTAGTCACCTTACCAGCTGCCGTCAAACTCAAATCCAACAACAGAGAAAAGAGCTTCAAAGTCGTCTCCTACTATTTTGGACATGACCCTGTCAAGGACCAGTACAAAGTGGTCTGCTCAACTGGTATCAACTACTATTACCCTAATGGTGTCAACTTGAAACGAGTGATAAGTTCAGAGCATCGGGTCTTTGCCCTAAAAGCTGGTGGAGGAGGTTCCTGGAAAAAGGCCGCTCCAACTCCAAGTAACTTTCTTCCTCACATTCCGGACGTAAGAGGAGTGTGCATCGATGGGGTTATATATTACCTTGGTTGGACTGACACGTATAAATCTGCGCTTGTGAGTTTCCACATTAGATCCGGAGACTTCAAAATGATCCAAGTTCCTCGCAGGGACGGAGATGAGCTGCCTCTAAGGGTCATTAATGTGACTCTTATAGAGTATGGTGGCAAAGCAACCATCTTTGACCAAACCAATCTTCAAGAAAAGGGTATTCTTGATTTATGGGCTGTGGCAGATGCCCGGAACGAGATATGGTCGAGGAAAACTCTTGTCCTGAAGCCTTCTCAGCTGCATTTGGTCAATAACTACACTTCATTCAATATCAGAGGTACAACTCAAAATGGCAAGGTTTTCTTGATACCTTGGTGTTTGCATTCTCCCTTTCACATTCTCTGTTATGATCTGCAAACCAATGATATGAGGAAGATCGAAATCAAAGGTGTACCTGACCACTGGTTTAGTAAGGACAAATTGACCGTTAACGTGACGTTGATGGAACAGAGGGAGAGTGTCATGTACTTGAAGACTTGAATTAATCATTTATGCATGTCTTAAGTTTAATTATTGGTTTTAGTATGAGATTTTAAAAAGTTTCTCGTGTTTCTTGTTCATAAACCACTTCCTCTCTTTCTTTGATATGAATACAATCAAGCCACTTCCGTTTACACCTATACCTCTCACAGAATTGAATTTGTGAGGCTGGTTTGAAAGGACCCAATTGGTCCAAACAAGGACAAAGCTCCTAGATTTGTATATTATATAGTAAGATAAGACAAGCCTAATAAGGATTATCTTTCTTGGTAATCGTCTGTCTGTGAGATGTTAAATTCCCGAGTAAATCCAAATCATCAGATTCTATAGGTAAAGATGTAACGCAAGGGAACCTACATTCTGTGAGTGTACTTTCTTATGATGCTCTGTGTCTGTCAAAGTCAGAAATTTTCCATTACAACTCATAACAACCACATATCTTCATACCAAGGTAATTTTGTTGCCATTTCATAATCTCCTAATCCCATAATTTCATTGTCTTTCTCCGGGAAACGTTCAAAATTGTTTTACACCGAGAGCAAGATTTTATACTAGGATGTTATGTTTTATTATGCATGCAGGCTGGTAAACTGAAAGGATGCAATGTCAAATACTTATTCACAACTCTGATGTAAGCTATGAAATTCTTCTTGTCTTTATGATCTAATAAGCTACTCGGGGTACCAATGCATCTACACAAACATGAAATTTGGGTAAAGTCAAAGAAAATGGGTGCATAATTGCAGTCGAAGCTTATGTCTAGCGTGTGCATGCGTTTAGGAGACAAACAAGGTAGATAGCGAAAATACTCAATAACCAACATGAAAAAAAAAAAAAAATGGAGAACCATATTCATAGGGAACAGGCACCAAGTGATTCAAGAATTTCCTGATCACTAATAATTGAACCCTCTTGAAAGAGAAACCAGCGTCAGGAACAAGCCAAATCCTTCTTCTTACAATAGTCAAAACACAGATCATTAACTTTTTCTTGTAGAGTCTGTAGTGCAACATGTTAGTTTGAATTTGATTGACTATATAAAACTATTTACGAACAAACAATATTTCCATAACATTATCTAACTAAACAGACATACATGCAGACCGTGGTCACAGAAAAAAGTCTCAGTTCTAGAAGTATGTCATATATATTAACCGACATACCATGCATGCAGCCAGATATGCATTGAAATGTTGCAGGAAAACTATTTGCAGCTGCGATAGAACGACAGAAACCAGACATGAGCTTCACCTGGAGCTACATTATGTTCTGGAGCAACCTGTCCAGTGGAAGTAGTCTGCCAATTTAGCATGGACAAGGAAAATAAATACTTAAACACGAGAAGAAACCCTCAACACTCCAGAATTCCCAAAATATATACGAATCTGTATTACAATAGAGTCTACATACTCAAGGATAAGACCTAGTCATGTCATCCACGAGTAGCAGAAGAAAACTTAATTACAACCATTTAACCTTGCAGGAGACATAGACCTGGTCCTAGGAATGGATTAAATAATATCACATTTAAGCTTTCCTAGAATATAAATGATTTGAGTGTCAAAGAAAAATTTATTAAAATGTTGGAAAAATAAAAGGATCACGTAACATTGAATAGTACGAACAGTCTGTTTATCAACTTGGGATCATCCAAATTTGTTTCAGAAGCTTTCTTTTTTAGAAGCTCCTCCCCTCTTTTAGCTACAGGTTCTTGACTTGAATGAATTTTAACCAAAAAATTCATACCAACTCTCAGAGACATGAAGAGTAGAAATGAATTGCAGAAGGACAGTGATAAAAAAAAAAACATTGGATATACGGATTCACCAGGAAGGTTCATGGTTCCACGAAGGTAGAAAAGTATTTCATGTCATGTGACAATAACAAAGCATGTCATCTGGCAAAAAACATAAAGCATACCTATCCACTGATGCAGCAATGTAGAATGGATATACGGATTCACCAGGCAGGTCCATGGTTCCAATGACATTCAAGATCCCCAACTGCTTAAGGAATTGATCGATTTATTAAGGAAGAAAATAGTTCTTAGTGACAAATGTATAGCTTG